ATGCTGGTACTTTACTAATAAGGAATATAACTACAAAATTAAAGTTTGGATGAAAACCAGTAGTAAGAAAAACCTCTCATTTTGGGAGATACTTTAAATTTTTTTTGTTTGTTTTTGGTTTTGTTTTAGAAGTTGCTTTCAAAGAAATCATATTTGTCAACCACTCGTAGCTGGTATCATAAAAAAATACTGAATGTAGTATGTTTTTGATGATTATATCCCAAAACACTAGTCTCTGTGTAGTGTGGAAGTAGGCTTTTTTGGACCATCCAGCATATCTAGTAACTGCAGTATCAATACTGAAACTGGGGTGTTTTAAGTGAAATAGACTGGTGTGGAAACTGGTAATTGCAGCTACAAAAGACTGTGAGTTAGAATGTTTTCTGAGTAGTACAAGGGAAAACAGAATTTTCCAAAGAATGTGGCTTAATACATTTTCTCCAGTAACAGGAAGAGTCTCCAAAGGAATCTGTACTTGGTGATAGAGAGCAATTTGAGACACCAGTATCTTACACAATGCGTGCACCTAGGAGTACACAATTAAGTGCTGTGAATATTTCTGGCTGTGTTAATGACAGTTTGAACACAATGAATGAAAAACTGTAAGGACAACTAGAGATCTACTTTTAAGGATCTCAGACTGCTGATTATTACTGGCTTGTTTAAATCCTTTCCAACTTAGTAATGCCATCCATCAGTGCCTCATAACTAAGAATAATGCTATGAAGAAAGATGATCCATACAGAACATGTCAAAATCATGTTCGTTCATTCTCCAATGCTAAGCATTGCAGTGAATAATTTGTGGAACCTCAGAAATACTGTGTTCTTGTTCTCTCACCAGAATTTTTCTTCTTTTAGTCAGGTTTGTATTATGCCTTTTAAGATGTCTTTATAACTCTAGCATGTATTTCTTAGAATAATTATGTCTTAGCTAAAAAGACAAAAAAATAACATATAGAAATGTAAACATCCAGATAGGAAAACTGTAACTTTGGAAGGCACCTGACAGTATTTTATGTACAAATCAAATTGTAATTCACTGGGATTTGTCATTTTAACTTCCTCGGGCCCTTCAGAAAACCTGATCTTAGAATACCTCCTGCTTTATCTATTTTTTATCTCTTTCTACGATGCTTTTTGTTTAAAAAAATGTTATTTATTTATGATAAATATATAGATAAACTCTACAGACACATCTTAATATGCAATACCTAGGATACATCATTTATGCCATCACACAGGAACTTTTCAATCAGTTACTTCTATTATTATTTTTATTATTATTACGCAATACACACTAGGCTTCACATGTATAATAAAATTTTGCAGTTAATGAAATCTATTAATAGATAATATTTAGAATGGTTATCTTTATTTTTTTTATGTAATTTGGACTTATTTTTCATACTTAATATAAGGAAAACTAAACATAATTAAACTCAAAGATGAAAGAAAATATTATAAATAAATAAAAATCTTATAAATCTTATAAAGAAAATCTTATAAATCTTATAAAGAAAAGAAAAAATAAAATAAAGAAGTAAAAGAAATAAAATAAAAGAAATAAAGAAATAAGAGAAGAAAAGAAAAGAAAGAAATAAAGAAAAGAAAGAAAATCTTATAAATCTTATAAATGCCTCTGGGTTCCCTACAATTCAGGTTTGCCTAGTATTTAGTTCAGATAAAAGGCAGGGTTAACTATGCCCAATTGGTATCAAACCTGATAATCTCTTCCTGTCCTGAAGAACTGCTCTTATCATCAAGAGCAACCCCAAGAGAGAACAAGGATAAAGTACAGAAACTCTGTGCAATCCTACCATCGGTTTAAATCTGTGATAGGGGTCAGTAAGTAAAAGGATGAGACAGTGACACCCATGTGCTCTGTGTTGCCATTAGGCCTCTTTAACTGCTCTAACATTTAAGGATGTGATGGGAGCGTGCTCCTCTCCTGAGTACACAAACTGTCAGATGTATTAAACCATGCAAAGAAAACTGCTGCAGTTTTGTTATTAACCTACAGAATAGCACTGGTACATTAATTAGTCCTATCTAGGAACTATGGAAGAATATAAACAATTAAGTCTTGCTTATTTATTTATTTATATTTTTATTTTAAAATAGTTATTGAGGTTTATACTAGAATATTATTAAATTAATAGACATTCTGCTAAAATGGCTCACTAACAATTAAGTAAAGAGCCAGTCATACCTGAAAAAATTCTTCTCAAAACTGTTTTTGGAGACAATAAAACCAAAATAATTGAACTAAAATTGAAAATGTTTTTAAGGATTTTAAGGAATTTGGTAAATTAATATTTGGCAAAAAAATGTAAAAAACCCATACAGCAACATCTGTAATTACAATTAACATGCTAAAAATTATGACTTGGAAAATAATACAAGGAGAGTTAAAACATTTATTCAGTACTGACTTCAGAGAATCTCACAACAATTCCTCCCATTTTGCTACAAAGGTAGAAATTAGTTGTCTAGTTTTTGAACCTGTACCTTTTGCTGAAAGTCTCTAGCCTACAACTTACAAAGTGAAATAACTGGAATGAAGGATAACTATGACACCTGCTTCATAAAAGAACCTATTTGTAGTTGAGAAAAGACTGTTAGCACTTATGACAACGGAGCATTTTATGGAAATGGTGGTAATGAGGTACTGACAGATTCTTTGAAGGGACTGCTTAATTACTGAAGATTATGACAGAGATTAGACTAATGGGAAATGAAGCTGGAAAGACGACACTTCCTTCTTGGGACGCTGTTTTAAAGAACAGAAGAAGTCTTCACCGTTAGACAAGTGCTTTCTTTCCAAGACAAGACAAATAAGCTATACATGACATATAGATACCAGTGAAAAGTTACATCCAAGACAAGCAAAAAACTTCTCCAATTCATTAATCAGAATATGAATGGAGACAAAACTATAGTGCAGAACCCCAAAGATATTTGCTTTCCATTGCAAGCTGACACATAAAGGATATAGAGAAAGTTGTACTGCTGTTATTCAAAGAACACCTGCACTGGAAAAAAATATATTTGGTTTAAACCTCATTATCAGTTAAAATATTTAAAACTGAAAACTCCAGTTTTAGAAATGTCATAATTCTATGCTAGACAAAATAAAAATGGTGTTATGCATTAAAAATCATTATGTCTGATATTCCTGATAACAGAATAATATTTCTATTGTTCCTTTAAAAATTGAGTTTTCTCAGAAGATTTCTGAACTGTACAAAGTTTTGTTGTATCATATAGTGTATCTACCAAGGCACAAATCCAGACTTAATATGCTGTTCTATTTTCTCATGTTATATTTGATTGTTCCCATACATTCTCAAAATTAAGTCTGCCATACCACAACGAGAATATGTTACTTTTAAATTTTGTTTTAAAACTTTCACCCTGAAAGGTGTCTTATACTGTATTAATGCATTGTAACAATGCAGAGATTTTGTTATGCCCTTTAAAATGAATTCTGTGCTGCTAATAAACTCTTAAATTTCAATTGCCCATGCTTCATAAAATGGGCTGCATCCTTTCTCTCTCTTCTGAATACAAAAGGTATTAATACTTAAGTTTAAAACATAACAGCTGCATAACCTTAATCAAACAATTTATTTCACATCACTATGTGTACAGTAGAATAGGATTTTACAGAAAATTTACAGGAATTTCACTGAACTTGCATTACTATATAGTAAAATATTTTTTTTTCTTTATATACATATAGAATAAATAACTATGAGTACACCAATGCACTCATTAAAGGAACAAATATAGTAAATTAGTATGTTCCCAAAAGCATACTATTTTGTAAAGTTTCAAATCCCTTCAAATGTCTATTATATTGAAGAGTAGCTATGTTAAAGCTATTAATAAATACTGTATTTATTTCTTAGGTCTTCTGGGATGGCAAATCTCTCTATTCCTAACATGTAATTACAGTTTTGACCATTTCTCATTTTCCTTTCAGATTTATTTCCTATGTCATAATGCATTGCTTGCCTGCCAAAAAGAAGGAACATGCAACTGTATGGTGAAGTCACTTGCAGAACTCAGGAAATCACTCAGCGATATGCAACTGTTACTTATCTTTCTATGCCATATATCTTATTCCAACTTCTATCTAATCACTGGAAAGACTTTTTCCATTTAGAGTCTCAGTCTCAAACAGGCTCACTCAAGCTATATTGGAAATGTATAAAAAATGTATCTAGAAAATCTCTAGCAAAATAGAACAGCAGTAAAATACAAGATAAGGATTTTTTTTCCTCATTTTTGAAGACCTTTGCTTTATGAATTTGAAGAACAGTTTGAGGAGACAATTTTCCAATGAATTTTTTTATATTTCAAGTTTATATCCTCCAGTTGGCTTCTAAAGCATCAGACTCTTCTCTAAGCAAAAAGTAAACTCTTTTCTCCTGGATAAAATTCAAGAGCTTTGAATAAAGACAATCTCTAAAGGGACTGTCACAAAGTTGTGAACTCCAGGAGGGGTTATAATAGGGTCTAGAGGCATGCTGGGGATTACTAAATCAGAGAATCATAAAAAAAAACCAAAACCAAACAAACAACCCCCCCCCACACACACACACACACAAAACCAAACAAAAACAAAACCAGAAGACTTTGCTGATTCTTAGAAGGTTAAGCCAAGAACTGAGATGTTGCTCAAATCAGTCCTTATGTTATCCCACTGAATACTTTTCCCCCATAGCAGTCTCCACTAGCCTGAAGATTTGAAGCTTAGCCTTAAGTTAGTGGGTAATACCAGTGTTATTTCAGATGAAATTTTGTCTTGTCAACTTCAGGAAAGACAGGGTTCCTCCACAGATCTCAGTATCACTGAAGGACATACTTTCTTAAATTATGCTAGTTTAAACATAAGTTACCAGGAAAAACTGACTTTCCATTAAGAATGTAATTTTTTTTTTTTTTTAAAAAAAAAAACAAATTTAAAAGAGAAAACAAAATATTAGAACTTACATTCAATATCAAGGTACATGCTCTTTTGGTGCCCACCAATTCTACTTGCAGCTTCACAGTCATATCTCCCTGAATCTGACAACTTCACATCTTTAATATGCAGTGACGATTTTCCATGCTGCCCTTTGACTTCTATACGGCCATCTGGGCTCTGTTTACATTGATTCAGGAAAAAGAAAGGTTTTATATACATAGGTATATTTATGTATGGTTTATATATTAAACACCATTGATAAGTATGACTGAAAGCATCTTTTCACCCATGGTGATGTTATTACTGACAGCTTAGCAACTTTAAATTTTCAAATAAATAAAAAAATATAAAAAAAAAGACGTTCTGTTTCTAAGCACTATAATCAAGGGAATAAGTACATGCTTAAAGAAACACTGTCAAGGTAAACCACAAAATGTATCCACTTATGACTGGAATAGTGAACTGCATGCTCAAAACCTGTTTATGATCTCACTCATTTTGCAATGCTGTGGTAGTTAATGAAAATGCATACATGTAAAATCATAGTATCTTAGATTACAGTTAGCATTATCTTTCTTGCCCTTAAAAATGTAACTGTGAAACTGAATAAAAATATCCCCTCAATGATCAAAACACAAATCCAGTCATAGATTTATTTTCATTATTCACATTTACTTTTCAGAAGCTCACAATTGTTAAATAACATGATCCATATATGCAACTGGAATTTCTGGATTTCATTTTCATACCATTGCATGGAAAAAGGCAAGGGAGAAAAATGAATGATGGCTTCTAATTTTCTAGAACATAAAATTTATATTTAGCAACTTCACAAAAATCCTTATCCATAACAAATGCCCACCTCCTTCCCAAAAACTATTTAAATATCAAGACTATAAAAATATTAGGGAAAACTAAATAAAACAAAAAAAACCAATCCTCTGCTTGACACTTAAGCCTTCATGGAGTAACATACCTGAGGAAAAAGAAGTTATCATTTAATCTGGTTATGCTCTTTACTTCTTTTTGTAGCTTTGGGAAACTCACTTTACTTCTTTGTTTCATTTTTTTCATTTGAAGGAAAAAAAAGTGATAAAAAATGCTGATATTTACCTACCTTCATTATTGAGAAAGGTAGAAAAGGGAAGGAAAAGCAGTAACTATTTCACTATATGACACTTAAACTTGAAACATACTTTAATGTCCAATCTTATGAATACATACACTCAAGTTTACTGCTTTTTATACTAAATACCAAGTGGCAGCTGATATTTAAGTGACTGAGCTTTTAACCCTTACAATTTTCCTCACTGAATACAGGAAAAATGCACACAATTCACATCTTAAAATATTTGACATAAAACTGCCATATCATTCTATGTATCAAAATTTCTATGTAAAGAAAAGTATTCTGATCCCACATCAGAATCCAAGGACACTGAATTTTGTTTCCCATGAAAACCTCACAGCATAGGTACATAAGTTAAAGTTACGGAATTCTAATGCAAGAGGAACCTAAATCCCTTTGGACTGGTAAAAATTGGTAACTTAGACCACTTAGTTATCTCTTACATGACTTCTAATGCTGAAAATTATCTTTTCATTATACCTTTCAAATAGAAAAAAAGTTATGCTTACTAGTAAACATGCTACCATACTGAATGTCATGGGTTTGAGAGGGAATTATTAGGATAATTAAAATGCAATTTATTTAAAATAAAACACTAAATACTTTTCTAAATTCTGATATAAAATTCTGATACACACACACATATGTATATATATGTGTATATATATATATAAAACAAGTACTTTATATGACATAGTTCATAACAGCATTATTTACCCATGGATTATTTCCTTCTTTTTTAAAACATCACATATGTAATACAATGGTAAATCTATAATCTATAGATCTAAATCTACCTAAAATGTACATACACTTCAGCATTTTTATTTCTGATTTTACTTTGATTATAAATATTTACCTAAGAAGTCACATTTAAATCTGTGAGAAGACATATGCTGAAGCAACCTGTGAATATGAATCATAGATACAGTATGAAATACTGTATTAATGATTCTTTAAGAGCTGTCCTCTTAAAGCACTAAGGTAGCTCTATACAATAGAGAGTAGTAGTAGAACACAGATATTTTGAGAAAAATATTCTCTCTGTCTTTCCTTACTGTATATTAGAAACCTACAACGAGAAACTAAAGTCTTTCTTGGTACCTTCTCCTTGCGCAATGCAAAGTATCTTTCTGTGAAATTATATTGACCTGTAGCTGCAACAACACATTCACTGAAGTTCTTTCACCATGATATTCCAAATTAGATTAGAGATTATTCAGTTAGCTCAATTTTGTGAGTATTCTGAGAGGAATCTACTAGGTTAAGCAAAGTCCATAGAAACAAATAAAACACGTAACAAGTGTAGGTAAGAAAATTTGGACCAAATTATCATAAAAATATACATTTACCAAAGTTTGTTTCTACTTTTTCAGAATTGTTGGAAAATTATTACAATAGGCCTTTAAAATTGCTTATAAAAGAATGTAAAATATATGTTTTCTGCTGCATTGATCAGAATGCATATTATACTGTCTTCTCCATGAAAAGTTTAAGCAGGCCTGCTCATTGGTTTTATCCTGCAGACGGATTAGCCTACAATTCCATTCATTTTTCTGTAAACATGGTGCAGTAAGTGATTAAAAATTCACTCTTTGGCTGATATCCTGAACATAGAAATATGTGAAAGAAAACAAAAGTGCAAATACAGAGCAAGAAAATTCCATAAATAAATAAGTAAATAAATAAAAGAAAATGTTTTGAAGCAGTTGCCTATGTCTAGAGAGGATTCCCAGAGTATGCTGGATATTAACACATGCAAATGAAAAACACTAGACAGCATGAGTTTTCATGAGGAATTAAAAACATACTAATGAGGCTGTATTATACTGTTCTATGGTGTAAGTCAATAGAGATCTGGGTAAATAAGTCAAGGACATATTGTTATGACACAAAAAGTAAATAATAGTGCAGTCATGCTGAAGCACAGCTAGGAAAGGACATTAGGAACGCAGCAGAGACACAGAAGTTGACTATGGCAAAGAATGATGAAGAAGCTGGGACAAAACTCAATATGCAGTGTTAGCCTGAAGAAAAAATTGAAACTATGCTAGTTATATTGTCCTGGTTTTGTGAAGGGCATTATCAAAACTAGAATATGCATTCCTACCAATCCATAACATCGTTAACTTTGAACAGCACATACACAGTGTCAAATAGGGGCAGAACTAACCTCGGGGTCTGTGCCCACCAAAACTTTATAACCCTTGGCAAAATCTTTCTAAAGCTTAATTCCCTCCTGCACCAAGTATAGTGAGCAGATGTTGGACCATGTGCAGCACTGTAACCCAACAAAACAGGGAGAGAAGGATACAGCACAGATGGAAACATGAAGTACACAGCACCTGTCCAGCATGCCTCAGTAGAATTCACCACCAGGAGAAAAGCATTGGAGCTGCCACTGGTGTCAAACCAAAATCAGATATACTCTCTAATTATATCTACAGATATAAATGAATAATATCGGTAACTCACAAGTCTGTCTGAAATAATGGACACCTACTAAACTGGAATATTTTTTTTTCCTTACAAATGTTATAGTGGGAGAGATGTAAAATACAAGCTATGGTGTTTTCTGCTAAATAAGTACACATGCTTTTATTTCTTAGCATTAATAAAGAGTATAAAATACAGACAAAACAAAAGAACAGTCTCTGTGGTTCAATACTCATGATTTCTACTTATTGATTGAATTACTTTGTATCATCTATCACTGTGGAGCATAAATAATCATGAGGTCTGAAAAACGTATGTAGTCAACACAGATATACATACTTCTTTAGAAAGATCAATGAGCAAGTTTGTTCCAGGCGCTTAGACTCTAAGACACTGGAAGAATAATTTCAATAAACAGATCATTGTGTTTCTTGAAAATGGCAAAGGTCTTCAGAAGTTAACTTTCTACAGCATTTTAGAAATCATAATATAATCTTAAAAATAAAAATATTTTTCATCACTAATGTTAATCAGAGAATTTAATAGAATTCATAAATAAAAGTGTGGGGTTTGGGGCTTTTCTGCTGGTTTGTTTGTTTGTTTGTTTGTTTGTTTTGTGTGTGTGTGTGTTTATTTTGTTTTGTTTTGTTTTGTTTTTCCCCCAGAACCTCATCACCAGCATAAAGCTAAAACACAAGTGAGAAATCTTCAGTAGAGACTTTGACAGTGTTTTACTCAGGTACAGCTGACTTTGTGACTTTATCCACATTAAAAACACATTCCCAAAATTAAACATTTAACACTCCACAGAAAAGCACCTTTATTTTGAATACTGATAGCAATCTAGTTCTCTGTCCTTGTCAAAGGACTCCAGGTAAATTTAGTCATAATGACAATACTGAATTATAAAAGAGTGCCTTCTGAAAGAAAAACACAAAAAACAAAAAACAAAAAACAAACAAAAAAACCAAAAAACCACAAAACAAAAAACCAACCAAACAAACAAAACAAACCAAACCAAAAACGAAAGGGTGAGAACATTCTGCATGTGCAATATTCTTACTTAGAATACTTAGTTTAACCCAAATGAATCCTACACTAATCATAAAATGGGAGGTATTTCATCACTTGAGATTAATTCTACAGATTCTGTAAAAGTAAATGTATATTTTTTATTTTTATAAAATTCCTGTCATGCTATATATGCTATTCTGCCTGCCTTTTTCTGTCATGTTCTTGCTTTCCAAACTTCTCACATGATCTGTAGTTCCACAAGTGAATATTCCCAAAGTCCTGACTTGCTGCTGCTGACCTGACTGCTCGATGCACAGCTCCAAAACCATGTTCCAGTGCTTCCAAGGCAGTACCAGAATGATGATAACCATGTATTACAAGGGTTCCACATTCAGAAGGAATTGGTATGTGATGAGACAACAGCATATACAAAGAGACAAGAACAGCTTCTGGGACAGAATAACTTATTCAGTAACCATGGAGTGTTCAATCTGCACAATTCCATTGCCACTGTAGTAAAACAAGTAATTTCTCAGAAGGGGAGTATTAGCTGATTATGATGTCATTCTTTTTCAATTGTAGAAAGCTGTACTTGGGG